GTTGAGTCGGTTTACACTTGCGCTCTCTAGTTGGACGGATTGGCAAGTTTTAAGAGAAGAAAAAATTAGTTGAATAGGAACGTCATTTTCCTTTTGAGCTTAAAACAAGTGTCTGAGTAGTCGTTGTTGGTGGGTTGTTTACTCCCCTGGAACGTCGCCCGACTTTCATGCAGAGTGTGTATTTCATTGACCCATATCCTGAAATGTACACGTTACTGTAATGAAGTAATTAGATGCCGTTATTCGCTCGCTTCTCAATAAATAGGTTACTACGTACGTTACTCGTTACAGATGTTGAAAAGAAAAGCGGAACATCCGCTCGGAAATAACGTGTTACACTCACGTCTTGTTTAATGTGTCATCTAGCTACCTTTGGAGTTTTGCGTCTTTACTTTGTCCCTCTTGTTTCCACTCTCCAGGGATTATGATCGTTATTTCTTTGCAGCTCAGTTGCACATTTGCATTAACTACATTGTGTTGTATATGTGTCGTCGTTAATATGTACTGGTTATTTAACGATATTTGAATGACCCTGTGGCAATACTGATAATCCTTGTGCACAATTTTTAGGTCGATCATAGTTTTCTTATCATGCAAATCGCAAGCGCGAGCTGCACTCTAAAAAAAAGCCCGCGAGTCTACTTTGTCGCACAACACTCGAAGGGGCAATCATCGCAGCTAACGGAGGCAGTTCAGCGAATGACGATGCCGAAACATAGGTTTATACCAAAACACGCAGTCTGAGTTGGGACATTAAGCAATGCAAGCGTGACGTTTTGCATTGATTAATATCACAACTTAGACTGCGGCTTTTGGTCTAAACATATGTTTGGGCGTCGTCATTCGCTGAGCTGTCTCCGTAAGTTCCGGTGATTGGCTCTCCGAGTGTTGTGCGGGAACGTAGACACACGAGCTTTTTTTGAGAATGTGGGGTGAGAACTAGGTTCGGTGTTTGTGCTGCATACGTTCCTTTCCTGACGCCGCTAAATAGCGTCACTCGTTTCTTAATGATAAAACAGTGAAAAAATGTTTCTACAGAATGTGGACGAACGCTTCTAAGCCACTTCAAAAGGCCCGCAATAATCGGTTTCTCAACGTATCGCGCTGCGATTTACTACACAAGTGCAACCACGTGGTGGAAACATTAGAGTGAAAATCTCGACAAATCAACTTACCCCGTTCAAAAAAGAAAAAAAAAAACGGTTTTAACTATCTGCCGCGAGAATCGCAGACGACCGAGCTTGCAGACCATGGGGGTAGGAAGCTTCTGGAGGCGACATTTCGCCACCAGAGGGGAACCCGGAGGTGTAAAAGGACACACCCCTAACGATGACTAAGACCAAGAGACGCCATTGAATGAAAAGGACAGCTCTCTCCTTATCGTCCAATAGCGTCTCTTCATTTTGGTCATTGATGGGGGCGTGTCCCTCCACACTTCCCTATAGACGCTATTTGACGAAAAGGAGAACTCTCTCCTTTTCGTCTTCTAGCGTGTCTTGGTTTTGGTCGTCGTTGTGGGCGTGCCCCTCCACATTTCCGGCTTTTTTTATTTTTTTTTAATATTTAATTGAGCTATAGTATTATACATTGGAAGGAATACAATAGGAGTGACACAAATTAGCGCAAAATGAACAATCATAAGACAACGCGGTCATGTGGCAATACAATGCTATGACATGAAATACAGATTACAATTGACACCAGAGCAAGGCAAGGGTCAAAGCATTGAAAAAAGAAAACTGTATGACAATACATGCACAAATAAATTCACAGTACCGCAACACCAATGAAAACAAAAGGTCAATCTCGATGAAGTAGAAATGGTTAGAATGTTGTTCCCGCTACAAAACAACTTATTTATACATAATGTGTCAGTTGGTCCAAAAACAAATAAACATTATCACAGTCAACGGCATGCCTGGGTAGCAGCTGTTCCACTCTGATGCTGTGAGTGGGAAAAAGGCGTTTTTAAAGGAATGAATTCGAGACCGGTGTTCAATAATCGTTTTCGAATGTGTAAATGCGGTATTTGTTCTAGTCGCGAAAGTTACGTATTTGTCGTCTGGAATTTTAACTAAGTGGTTAACGATTGGTAGGAGGGTATTAAGGCGGACAACTTTTCTTCTAGTTTGCAAATGAATTAAATCAGTTTGAAACATTAGCTTTGAAGGGGAATTGTTACGTCCAAATTTGTTGAACACAAACCTAAGAGTTCTTCTCTGAACCATTTCCCATTTGTCTATGACTTTTTTGTGTAAACGCGTCCCATAGAACGATCGCGTATTCAAGAATGGGGCGAATTAATATTTTATAAGCGAGCAGTGGCGAAACTTTGATGAGTAGAATATCGTCGCGTTCCGCCACGGCTAGCTTCGCGCCTGCTGCACGATTGATAACTTTGGTGCACCCCCGAGTTTCCCACAAGCTTTAAGTCATTCTAAAATTTACTGATATAGTGGTTTTCAATTATGCTCAGCATATTCCTATTGGAAACACTATGCATATTTTTCCTAAATAAAAGTTAATTACGGAAGTCTAGTTAAATATCCGAGTTATGGCTAAGATTAGCTACTAATATGATGTCCTCCAGGCCTGATAATTCACCTGCTCAAACTCTATCAGTACATCATTTACGGATTTTTTTTTTGTAATAAATCTGTTCGAATTCAAACGGAACACTCGGTATATGGCCGACCAAGTAAATCAATAACTACTATTATAGGCTCTCAGAATCAACAACTACTGCAATAAAGTTTCATGAAAGCTTCAAGATGTATTAGGACAAATGTCCCTGTACCTAGGGCTTCACATCCAGGCCGGATTGGCGTACGTAGATAACGTTCTTGCGTCATCATGGTCTAATCATTCTGTACCTAAGGACAAAATGACTGCAGTTTGGAAAGCGCAGCGCTGACTTACAACTCAGTTGTAAGTCAGCGTTACGTCCGTGTCACTTCTTTGTCTGGTCCTCGTCTTGCCGCGCGGTTTTTAATTCCGAATTATGTACCAACTTTAGGAACCTAAATTCGTTGAGAATGCATTTTCCGTCCTGCCCCGTTCGTCACCCAGAGACGTGGAGCATGGTCACTTAGCGAGCAAATTATGTCTTCCAAATGCTTAACACTACACTTAAACGGTCACTCAATATATTTATTGATTTTCTTTGATTTCTTTTTCTGAAAGGTGGTGCAACGATTTCAAACGCTTTCAGTTTGTTTTTTGTGCCTAGAATAAGGACGAAAAACATTATTAGGACATTGGCACCTGTAAAGCATTCTCGTACTCTAAAAAAGTAATCAATTACAATTACTATTACTATTGGTTAAAACGCCAAGGAGCTTTACCTTCAAAGGCTTATGATGCATAAAATGCAGTGTTTAAGCAGTAATCATATATTTTGTTTTTAAGGCTATATACTGTTTTGTACCGAAAGGTCACCTCGGGTCGTGTCATAAAACGTAAATTTTCCCGCTAAATTTAGGGGGAAATATACATTGGTGTGTAGTTCACGTGACATCAGGTTACGTGACATCCATTTTCCCGCCAAATCGAGCGAAAAAATTGAATTGGTGTTTGGGTCATATGACGTAGGTCACGCGACACTGATTTTCTCGTCAAATTTAGCGGAGAAAATGAGTTGGTGTATAGTTTGTGACCTAAACTTTCCGCTAAATATGGCGGGGAAACTGAATTGGTTTATAGGTTTCGTTACGGCACGTCACGCGACATCGAATTTAACACTACATATAGTGTTGCGTGCATAAAATTATTTGCGCGTACGTGTATGGTTTTTATTTGTGGTTAAATATGTTTAATGCGAGGATAGAAAGTAAGAATATTCTCATTGAAACAAGCAGACACAATATTATTTGCTGCGCACAAATGCTCGGAATTTATATCAGCGTACATTTTTCTTTAAAAAAAACAAAAAAAAACGATAACCTGCGAGAGCTATCATGCAGAAAGAAATTAATAAATTAATTCATCGAGCAGGCGATCGTTGCGATAAATATATATCCGGCCAAAATATGTCATAAAATATATATTCAATACCTCGCTGAGTTCATTCTAATTGGGTGTCAAAGGACGCCTCGAGCAAATTCTATGTCGCTGAACCAAACTCTAGTCTGGATGTAAGTAAATGAAGCACTCACGCAGGCTTCAAAAAACGTTTGTTAACACAAGTGATATACCACAACGCTCCGACTGCAGAGCCCGCAATATGAGTGACGGGGCTGCTAAACAAAAATGAAATATGAAAATACACCCTGCAAACACGAAATATTGACACACGAGTAACAATCTTACTGTCAATATAATACCGATAATAAATTTATTTTTGTTTTTTTCTGAATGCAAAATATGTATTTATTTTTAAATAGAATCACGAAAAAAAATATAATAACAATGATTTAGGATAGGCAGAACATGTCCTTACAGAACCATATGGTTATCGTTCGGAAGAACACTAGAGATCTATGATATCTTCAGGAAGTATGTATAAAATTGAAATATTAAAAAAATGCTGCGGTGCAGTTGATCAAACTCAGAATACGTTGTCAAATATGCTAGCCCTCGTGGTACCCCTCACAACCAAAAACATTTTGAGAAGTTCTTCAGAACGTGAGGAAGACATTAAAGGTTTTTCAAATAGATGTGGAACTTCATCAGGATAATACGGAAAAGCCCATTTCGTGAAAATCTATATAAAATGATACCATTGTTTACCGTATGGAACACCCTAGATATATAAAAGTACAAGTTTGTTTAGGCTCTACAGATTCGTTCAAATAAAGCCGTGAGAAGTACTTTAATGAGACCTTTCAGGGCTGCTGTTTTCCACCTCTGCTTATTTTCGTTATCACTTCGCATTGACGGGTTGATACAGAGACACGATGCTCAACATACAAGGATTTCAAAGTTCGAAATATTTCATTTGTACGCTGTAATTTGCATGAGCGTAATGGTCATATGCTCTGTTATCTATCATCGTTGCAGTGAAGCCGTCAATGGTTCGCATCCGGTCCAAGCAGCGTCCCCTGGCGGCTGGTCTGGCGGCCGAGATTGAGTGCGAGGCCGCCGGGTCCCGCCCTGCACCGACAGTTTCCTGGTGGCGAGGCAAGGCCAAGATACCCATGGACCACGTCAAGGTGAATTCTGACAATATTTACATCTACATGCTGAGCTCGTTTGCAGATGCTTCGAAAAAGTTTGCTCGATCTATCATAACATTTGTAACTGGTCGCCGTTCCGAAAAATGTTTGTACTCGTTTGCGACCTGTATCTGACCAGCATACTTTTCACTGGAATGCTACACAATTTTTATGAATATGCCATTAAAAAAATGTCCGTGCCTTTGTTTTCTTTCTAAACATGCTGTAGGTCGATTATGGTTGAAATAAAGAATAATCCGTGTAAATATCATGGCCCAAAAGACTTTAAGAGCAAAATGTGAGATCTCTGAAGCAATAGTGTACGAGCAATATTTTGTATGTTTGTCAATATTGGGACTTTTCTTAATTTATGTTTACTTACACTTATTAATCCTTACGACAACAAATCATATTAATATCCTAAGCAACACAACATTAGGAACAAATTTATGGCAATCTTGCTACATCCTCTATATGCCACTTCACTCTTCCTTGTTCGCTACCTGGGCCGTATTGCGTTGTCTGTGCACTCACAGATTGTGAGTTCAATTTCATTCGGGTATTAGCAGAGTGCAACTGTGGCGGCCGCTTTATCACGCAGGTGATGCTGATCGGCAACCGCATCTTCTCCGTGGTGGCCTACACGCCTACACGGGAGGACAACGGCAAGCGACTGCGATGCGTGGCCGAAAATCCAAACATCGTCGGCAGCTCAATAGAGGCGTCATACAACCTCGACGTTCACTGTGAGTGGACTGTCTTTTGTGCTTTTGACTGAAGTCAAAAAAGTGAAAGCCGTTTACAACTCCCTGTAACGCCGAATTTGAGCGCAGCTCTTGAGGAGGGGGAGGGAAGGGTAAGGGGGGGTGGGTGGGTCACGTGACCTTGGGGGCCACGTGACGATGCCAATGACGTCATCAGTGACGTCACTGATGACGTCATCAGTGACGTCACTCATGTGACGATGACGATGCGGATACCGATGACGTCATCAGTGATGATGACGATGACGATGCGGATGCCGGTGACGTCATAAGTGACGTCACTGATGACGCTATCAGCGATGATGACGATGACGATGCGGATGCCGGTGACGTTATCAGTGACGATGACGCCATCGGGGGGGGGGGGGTCACGTGACCTCGGGGGAGGGGGTCACGTGACCACTCCGAGGTCACGTGACCCCCTCAGGGTCACGTGACCGGGGGGTCACGTGACCTGGGGAGTCACGTGACCTGTTGCATGCAACCTGTTGCACTTCCTCTGAGTTGCTGCATCTCAGGTTGCATGCAACCTGTTGCATCTTCATCGAGTTGCTGCATCTCAGGTTGCATGCAACCTGTTACATCTCTTCTGAGTTGCTGCATCTCAGGCTGCATGCAACCTGTTGCATCTCCTATGAGCTGCTGCATCTCAGGTTGCATGCAACCTGCTGCATGTCAGGTTGCATGCAACCTGTTGCATCTCCTCTGAGTTGCATGCAACGCGCGGTTACGCCGACGGCGACGGCGACGGCGACGGCGACGGCGACGGCGACGCCGCTCAGGCTGGAAACGGGCCCCTAAGAGCTGCGCTCTAAAATTGTGTACATGTGCTCCTGTGTCTGTGTGCACGTACCTGTGCAGTTGTGCTTGATTAAAAATGAGGTCAATGACTACGCGGTCAAAAATTATACAGAGAACACTTTCTGACAGCAAATGAGAATGACGAGTGGCGCGGTGCGTGGGGAGTGTGCGAGGCTTCGCGTTATAACCGCTGCGCTTCTAGACCAGTTGTCTCAATTCTGCCGTGTTAATTGCGAGAAGATTGCGGACTCACTTGACGGCTCTTTGAAGACGGCCGCACGAAAGGATTTTGTCAGATCAAATCAGCCAAACCTCCCTCAGCACTGAGCATAATTTTTTCCAACTAAGACTAATGAATAACGATCACATTCGGTGTAAAGCATTTGGCGCCTTCTAGTTTATTGTATTTCGTTTTAGAGCGCAGCTCTTAGGGGCCTGTTTCCAGCCTGAGCGGCGTCGGCGTCGCCGTCGGCGTAATTGCGCCCCTCCCTCTCCTCCTCCTCCTCCTCCCCTCCTCCTCCCCTCATTGTGTAGTATGGTCCGGGCGGGTCACGTGACCTCGGGGGGAGGGGGTCACTAGACCCGTTTCCAGCCTGTGCGGCGTCGGCGTCGCCCCTCCCCCTCCTCCTTCTCCCCCTCCGCTCCTCCTCCTCCCCCTCCTCCCCCGCCCAGTAAAGGTGGTAAAGGAGAGGGAGGGGTAGCAGGAGGGGAGGAGGACTAGCAGGCATGATCACGAGGGAGGAGGAGGAATATACCCTTCACTCCTCCTCCTCAAGAGCTGCGCTCCAATTCGGAGTTGCAGGAAGTTGTAAACGGCTCTCACTTTTTTTTTTTTTTTAGCTTGTACAGTTACGTCGCCAGGCACCGAGCACAATGTTATTAAAACCAAGAAACGTAAAGTGCTCCGTTTATCTAACCAGATAAAACACTGTCGAATAAAGAAAAATATTTTCCTGATAATGCTTGTCGTGTGTGCGTGAAACTTACAAATTATTTTGTCCATCAACACGGATTTCCAAGATAATGGCAGAAAAGTTAGTCAGGCAGCTCTTTGTTTCTTTTAAATATTTCTTCTGTATCCACCCTTGATAGCTAAACAATGCTATCAAGCATACTAAGTACTTCACTGACCCGCGATGCATCCGCATCGCACGACGAGTCATGAAATATACCTTCTTAAGCGCAGTTTTTGTTTCAGTACTAAATGTTCTTTTCCAATCGACCTTAAAATGATCGTCATGACTCTCAAAACTGGCCCACAAAGTGGGGTGCACAATTCCATTGATGGCTTGATTACCGTCTGCATTTATTTTAATAGGATTCGTGGTATCTGGGTTAGCAAGTACGGACAGTTATTTTCAGTCATGGGCACATGTGTACACATGTGTGCGCGCAGGCGGAATTGTGCATAAGTTTATATATGTACTCGTATATTTCTGAAAGCGTAATGTGTCCTTGTGAATATACTTTACCGTTCTTGTTTTATATGCGGGTGTTCGCGCGTATATGTTAGATATAGGTTTGCGAGTAGCCCTGCGAATATTCGTACTTTCGTATCTGAGTTTTGGAGTTGCACCGGGTCTGTTCATCTGCTGCAGTGCATATGCGTTTATGCCTAGGCGCCCAGGTTTGTGCACGCCCGCCTACGTATATCTCGGTACGTGTTCGCGCTTATTGCCATACAATTGGGTTAGTGGCTTCGAGGGTGTAACTTCTACGTGCGCGAAGAATCAAAAGGAGCTGGCGAACGTAGCTTCATTCACCAATCACATCGGAGTAAGAGATCGGTCCTTTTGGGCACCCCAATTCAACCAGATGGCAACCCGCTCGTTCGCGACTACAGTTCCGTCTTCCCCCTGCGGCAGACAAACCGCTAGTGACGCTGCAACTGGGCAAGCGTCTTCGGCTGGAGGAGATCTTCGAGGGCCAGGACGTGTACCTGGAGTGCAGCATCGATGCCAACCCGCGCGTCTCCGAGGTCGTCTGGCGTTTCGAGGACAACCAGGAGGTGCACTCGGACCCCGCGGCCAAGGTCATCACCAGCAACCAGTCGCTGGTCTTCCAAGCCATCCAGAGGCAAAACGCGGGGCGCTACGTTTGCGTCGCCATCAACTCTGAGGGGGAGTCCATCAGCAACGAGGTTCAGCTGAGCGTGCAATGTGCGTACCCTCATTCTGCTTTCCGGATCACTTGATACCTGACCGGCCAGCAGGAACAAGGGTCCTTCGTATGAGTGGCAGTGGGTGTATAATACGTTTCGCCTAAAGTCCGAGCGCTACCAACGTTTTGGGTCAATAGGGCCATTCAAGCTTACCGAATAGCGCCGGATCACCGTTTTTTTCCGTCTTTTTGTGCTTGCTTCAACCTCAACCGACCTCACCAAGCGCGACAAATGCGTCGCGACTTCGTGTTTTTACTCTGCGCGTTCGTGCTCGGGCTGCAACTAGCTTTTGCCTTTGCTCAGACTTTAGATAAAACAAAGCGTATTTTAAAAAAATACAGAGCCTCAATATATGTTTTAATAAGTGTACCTGGTAAATGAGTAATACACGGATTAATAACCTATTTTTATGAGCGGTCGAATGGTTTAGCCTATTGTATTTGATGCATACGGAGCAACGACAAAATACACATTTGGTGCTTGTGGCTTATGTTCACGCTGCTTTAAGGAATATATTGACTCACATTTTTTAAGTGTTGGGAAGTATCTGAACAACATTGTACTTAAAATAATACTTCAAGCCCGTTAAAAAAACTTCGACTTTACTTGAAGTACATTCACTGCGTATGTAGTTTCGCCTTGCTTAAAGTATTTTGCTATTATACTTTCTGAAAAACCTGCAACTCCATACTTCAAAGTACATTTTGTCAACTATGAAGATTTTCTGGGAGGCATATTTTACTTTCACCAAATACCCGAGTAGACAACGCATTACAAGGTTTACTGGAGCGGCTTTCATGCAGTTTTTAAGCTACCGATATTTCTTGTTCGCGGTCAACACAGGTGAGGAGATTAAAATATCAGGTGAGGACACTCCCTCGGCAAGGGATTGCTTCCGCAGTTACGGTGCTGACTTCATGCTCTCTACCCTAGTACGTTTAGTCCCTTGTGTGCAAGACAGTACAAGCGGAGCAACATTCAGAAGTCGGAGGAACCTGAATTTGACGCCATTGCCGAAAATCACTATTTTGTGCCCGCTCGACTCGAGTCAATGCTTGTGAATGGGGCCAGCTGAACATGAAAAACACACAGTAAAAAATTGTAACATTCGCACCGCTGGACTAGCAACATTTAATAATGCATCGTTTTCCTTTTCTGCTAACCCTTGATTCCGGTTTTCTTTGTCTTTACTCTAACTTGTCAGTAACCTTTCCTTTACACTAACTTAACAGATATCTAGGCTACTTGATGCTAGGTATTCGGAAACACTACTGGTATCATTATGTGAAAATATCTCCCAGAAGCTGAAGCGCGGACAGAAAGGCATCGAGTGAAAAACAAAGAAAAAGAATGGAAATTCCATAGTGGTAGCACCCAACGTTACTGGATCGGAGAAGTTGACAAGCTCCCAGCAAAAAAGTGACGCGCTGCCATTCACTGCCGCGTAGCGGCGCTCGTGTCCAAGTCCGCACGACTCGTTCGGTCTGGCTGGCCTCGGTACCGTGGATACGCTGTGAAACATCGTTTCTGTGTGGGTTCACAGAGTGTATTACTAAGGGCTGTTGACAGTGTGATAATGTCCGGATCAAGACAACATTTCCTGGGATATTTGAGGTAAATTTAAGCCCTCCGTGCCTTCTTAGTTTTGGCAGTTTTCCAACATTTGGCACCAAGGCAAGCAGCTCGAAAAAATGACTGTGTCTTTCGTTCGTGGTTTTCTGCACATGAACCGTTATGTTCTCGTCGTCTACGGACTTAAATTCCATGAACTTCCCTCTTCTGGTGTTCCGTGTTTGTATCAGAAGTTCAAGCGTAAACTGCTGCCTACATACCAAACCGGCATCAGGAAAAAATGACAATTTGAAGACGTCTTGGTCATTCGAAGGAAGCGGGCTGTTTTGTATTTGTATTCGACTAAGTCGAGGCCTGCTATTGGGGAAAACAACTGAGTTATTCCTCTTATGTGTTTTTCACGTGTGTGACAACCTCGCTCCCTCTCGTCTGCGTGCCATTTCGGAGACGTGTCACTAAGGGGTAAGAATTTCAAGACATCACTTCCGATTAGCTGATTTGCTCAGATTCGTGTCTGTATATTTGGAGATTTACAGGTGAAAGTGCAGTAGATATTAGAACCGTTATTTTACACCACCTACTACAGCTTCGCGGAAACAGTGCACGAGTGGTGAGACGCCCTCGTTGACTATGTGAAACGAGTTCACTTGTGTAAGTGTATGCATGCTCCATGTGCCTGACAGCGACATGCTTGTTGACATGTTTATAAGCATGCGTTAATTTAAATTCGCTTTATGTTAATTTCTATTTTCTTAACGTTGCAGTAGTTCATAAAAGATAATGTTAATTTATTGATCTCGTGACGTTTCTGCGATCCATCTCAAGCCAAAATAAAGACATTTTAGCTACCCTGAGAATGCGACATAGAAAGGCGGAGGTGCAAATACCAGTTTCGAAAACCGCAATGCCTCTTTGTTTTAACGCAAATGTTCTTCTATGCGAGATACGTCAATCGAGAGACGATGAAGAAGGTGGGAGCAGCAAACAGGAAAGCTCGGGTCCTGTGATTACCAACTACATGTCTTTACAGTCGTGGTGTTTTGCATTCTGCTCGCGATTTTTTTTTATGCAAAAAGAAATAAACGTTGCACAGTAATTATCTGCAATTTTAGCCTTGCTGAACGTTTGTTGTGGTAACAAATAAAAGACAGAAGACGTATTTTGTTCGTGTTCTTTTGACAAGTGGGAGCGTTTATCGAGAACTGCATACGGCGCTGACAGCGCAAGCGCGGATATGAGAGACATCAACTATGATATAAATCCCGGTGTACTTTGGTATTACACGAACATAGAATCGCACTCGGAAGCCAGACTAAAAACTAGGCGCCCAGTGATTTCCCTACACACCTCCTACGAAGGGCGGGGGGGGGGGGGGGTGCATACCCCCCCCCCCTTGTTTTTTTAAAGGCACCTAATAAATTCAAGACAATTCTCCTCTAATCTTAATGCCCCCCCCCCCCCCCCCTAAAATTTAGACGCCCCCCCCCCCCTCATTTCAATTCCTGCGGAAAAACCTGTAGCCGCCCATGCTGTTATCCGATGAATTATAGAGTAAAAACCGGAGAAATAGTTAACATGCATAATTACAATCGTGACTGCAGCAGAATCTACTTGCAGAGTTCATTTCTTAAAAATAAATGCGCAAGGGCCGTCGACGTGCCGCCGACCGCCTAATTTTGGAATGAAAAGCCAGCGTCTTGAGCTTGTCCAGAGCGTGGCCGGCCTTGCGGACCGGGCGGGCTGCGACGACAGCGCCACCACTCTCACGCGAACGGAGGGGGCCGGCTTTCCGAAGCGCGGCTAATGCGGAGCTTGTCAACTGAGCTGATCTTATGACGTTGGTAGCATCATATCTCCATGGCATCACTCACCGGCTAAAAAAGATCACAGGTCGGCAAGGGGTCCAAGTGATAAGCTGCGCGCCGTACAAGGGCTATTCAATGTGCGGCAGGGTAAACGAAAACCAACGTAGCAACCAAGAGGCATGTAATATCGCACACAAAACAAGGTACGCCCAATCTCAAAAAGTCATTTATAACATTCCATTAACATGTAGAAAGTGTTATATTGCGCAGACAGGGCGCTGTATTAATGATAGAACCAGGGAACATGTCACATCTTTACAAAACTTGACAGCAGCAGGACACCTTGCAGCCCATTGTCGCGCATGCCAATGCGAGGCAACGTTGTGCAACGTAAACATCGTGGGGCGACATCAAAATCAACGCGCCCGTAAACTACTAGAGGCTGTAGCCATCGAAGAAAAAGACGAGGACTGTATTAGTGCTCCTTCCGTTGCACTACACAACTCAGAGAAGATTTTCCTGCGCAGTGATATTAGTTCCAGTCAAAGGTAGAAGAAGAGGAAGATCGCTTAAAGAAGACCGAAGAGAAGGGATGAGAACATTCCGACAGCAGAAAAATCAATGCGTTAAAGGAAAAGAAATTCTGAACTAGGTGTAAAGAAAAAGAAAACCTAAATCATTTGTAAAGAATTAAAAAAAATCTAACTGAGTGTAAAGAAAAAGAAAACCGGGATCAAGGATTAGCAGAAAAAAAAGGCATTATCAAATGTTGCTAGTCCAGCGGTGCGAATGTTATAATTTTTCTCTGTGTGTTTTTCATGTTCAGCTGGCCCCATTCATAAGTGATGAACCAACTTGTTAAGCTTAAGCCCATAACTTCGTTCAATATTGGCCATCATTTTGGAAAATAACTGATGCACGCTCGATAACTCCGGGGGCAATGCATGCCAGTTTGAAAGATCATGAAATATCGTGTTATACGTAGTCGTACTTTACTTAAAAAGTACACTGCATTTATAATACTTTACTTTAAATTACAATGCATTTATCTTCACATCAAGCATTTATCTTCGCATCAAGTACATTGCGTTGGGTGTACTTACTACTTTACACTCTAAAAAACCTCTGTGCGTCAACTTTCACGCACAACACTCGGAGAAACAATCAGCGCAACTTACGGAGGCAGCTCAGCGAATGACGATGCCGAAAAATCTGTTTAGACCATAAAACGCAGAGTGAGTTGTGACATTAATCAATGCAAGCGTGACGTTTTACATTGCTTAATGTCACAACTCAGACTGCGTTTTTGGTCTAAACTTATGTTTCGGCATTGTCATTCGCCGATCTGCCTCCGTTAGCTGCGCTGATAGGCTCTGAGAGTGCTGTGCGTGAAATTAGACGCACAGAGATTTTTTAGACTGTATTTGAAGTACCTGACCTCTAATTTACTTTGTACTTTACTTCAAGTACTTTTTTAGACACTTAACCATAAACTGATAATACTTGCAGAGTGTTGCCTCATCTGTCCACGTGGGCCTTAATCCGACTTCGCTTTGTGCAACCCTTCAATTTGTATTCTTTCTCTCACTCGTTTTTCTTTCGCTATATTGCTCTTTGAATGAAGCCAACTAGTCTTTACTTTCAGTTAGGTATCAAAACTGGCAGTTTAGTATTAAATTAAACGGCCTTCATGAGGAAGTAACGTGACTATATCTCCAGTTTTTCCACCTAAATATTTATGAACACTTCACTGTATACCTGACAGAGTCATGATATCGAAGAGGTCATTGTTCTTACCCGATTGTTCCTTTCTTTAATAGAGCGACACCATTTATAGCTTGCGATGCTATAGTGGCGTCTAGATCTCCTCCAGAGCGTATACGTTCTGGTTTGTCTTCATATTCTCGATACATCTATCAATAGCGCTGTGGCCCATTAAAAAGGGTAAACGTCCGTGATCTCAAGTTCGTTTCCTCCTCCTTTGGCATTATTCGAGTAAGCCAGCCATACAGTTTGAAGGAAATGCGATCTCTAGGTACAATTAGGGTACCGCTTTTTTGTATATAGCATAATGGTTGTTTCAATAGCCCAAAGATTACAACGCGTTGCAGCAGTAATATTAGTAAGATTACGTGCAACAAAATGCCGTACTGGCCCATGTCTAAACTGAGAGCTCAAATTGATACGCTTTTTATATCTACAGAAGCACGTTGAGCTTGCATAAACGCGGCCTAGCTACTCAGACCGTTAGACTTTTTCTTTAACAGAAGAGTTTCAGTAGCTTAGAAAAAAACAAAAAAAAAAACCCGCAATAATAGCATGAGCAGTATGGCCTGCGATGTCACCATCTGGACACAAATTGATGTGCACATCAAGTTACTATATGCATGACTACAGCGCGAAGCAAAGGGATTAATGCCTGGTGGAGGGGACCGTATACACCAACTCATGTTTACAAACAAACCGAAGCGCCCCTAGCGGACGCCACCGGCGCCGCGCATGCGCGATGGGGGTGTGGGCAAGAAGTTCGCCGTCGCCCGTAAACAAACCTTTGGAATGCGATGTTGTCGGCGTCGGTGTTAGTCCCCCTGCTCTTTTTCGCATTCGAATTGTTGATTCTACGTCTTCCTGGCGATGTCTGACTGCTTGAGCCGCGTCAGCGAAATTACCGAGGCTCGCTACACCGCGAAACTTCGCGTGAATAATGTGACATGTGGCGATTCATTCCGCGTGGACGCCGCAGTATGCACGCTAAAACCTGATTCGCATGATGAGATTTCGTTCGCAATTTTCAGTCGCGACGCCGCTCGGGCAGCAAAAGCTTGAACCGTAGTTGAGATAGTCGACGTCGATTCTGAAAATCGCAAGCAGAATCGGACCAAGTCAATTAGGCATACCAAGTCAGTGACCGCCACTCGCAACAATGATCAACATCTCCTTGTATTTACTGTTTACATCGAGCCTGCTTACCAACCTTCAAACTGAAGTCTTTTGAGACCTGCACTTACTTCGTATAGCAAGTACCGGGCCAACATTTAATCTACAGGCCGGCGTCGTCTAAGAGAGCAGACGACAAGCAGAAACGTTTGAAAGAGCAGACGACAGTTCGAACGACCAGGCGGCCGTTTGAACTTGCAGACGCACTGAACGTAGTCCGCAGATGGTCCGCACAACTTGATGGTTTTCTGGCGTCCATGTTGGAATAAAACAAATAAATCTGATGACCACAAGTATCCGTGAATTCAACTCAAAGTGCTTCCCGCCCAAGCAATCGTTGTCCGTCGGCGTTTGCTTTTCCCTTTTCACGGCACATATCCAGATTCTCGGACGAACCCAGCACGTAAAAACTGGCCTTCAAATCTTTCTCGACTCTTTTGGCACGGCCCCAGTCCCGGCGTTTCGACGAGAAGGCAGTTTTTTGTCTGGTTCCCTTCAAAACAACGCAGGAATACACGTCTGGCATGGGGACTTCTGCCCACAGCCCCAGACCGGAAGTGCGACCGACGCGCCACCACCGCGCCGTGACGTCACAGAGATGAGTTGGTGTATATCTCGGTTTGAGAACGTAATGATCTAAGATTTTGCACAGAGGTGGCCGAAAAACGTCCATAAAGGGTATACATATTTAACAGAAAAAAGTTCCCGAGTAAAAAATGAGAAATGAAACACTTGTAACCCCTTCATACAGTGGCCGTGCGCAAACCAAGGGCGTCGAATCGGCGCAACAGCCCTTGCATGTCGACAGTGCTCCACGTGTCGACAGGTAGGGTCGGCACTGAAGGCACCAAGTGACGTACTTTTTTAGCATCAGCTTCGATGACGAGATCACTGCTCTCGCTGGCTTGTTTTAGAGGTACCAGAGGGCAACATTCACTCGCTAGTTGGGATCTAATTGCAGAGTCAAGACGAATTCCACCCCAAAACGACACCTTTGAATGTTGCAGACAAGAAATGAGACACTGTAACACGCAGTGTGCAAAGCATACGACGACATGTAGTAAAAAAAATCTTTATCGAAAAAAGACGATACAACACATTTATTGCCTTATCATTTCATCTTAAATTTGCATGTTTTATTGGTAGAATAAAACGTCCATGCACTCAAGATTGGCGCAGTAAAAAACGCATCGCTTTTGACTCAGAAACGTCGTCTTGTAAAGCCGAGATCGAGGGAAGCGCCCGTCGTGTGCCCCTGCAGAAAACCTATACTACAGAGAGCTTTTATTTGCTCAATCGGGCTCATGTGATTTATGGGGCACGTTTACAACAAGAGCTGCTAGTAGACGAAGAAATCTTTTGATAGTCTGCAAAAGTCTTCGCCCTTCCGACTGCACTCCTCGTCACCACTCGAAAATGCTGCTCTCGAGTACTTTCGAACAACCTTATGATGCGCCCGCCATTAAAAGACAAACGCTCCCCATGGTTTGAGATGGACTCTTTTTTTAACCTAAGCTCTGGAAAAATTTGTAAACGTACGAGCCGCCATCTTTCAGTTTTTTCGCCGATCATGTAACTTTTGCTAGCAGACGGACGCGGTAGGTAGGTAGGTATATTTTTGATTTCTAACTTTTTAGTTAGGTGAATTTATTCAATGAAATTTATGTACACCCAATACACGTTGTTTGGCCACGCCCGTACAAACTCTTAGCACAATACATTAACAAACCGACTCATGCGTCCCTTTTAAACAGTCATCGATCTCTTTGCTTCACGCTGTATGATCTGTTACAACATAAAACTGTGGCAGAAGCTTCTTAAAGAAAAGAAATCACAGACAAAACGAAAATATGTTTTTGGTACTTACAATTTGTATAATGTTTCACAGTGACAGCTGCAAAACACTATATCACTGACAATTCTAAACAGCAATTACCTTTGTTTCCAAGAACATTCACGTTGCTGCAGAAGCGCCTGTTTTCCGGTGTTGGATGTAATGATGCCAGAAAAATATCGTTATATATCGTTATATATATATATCGTTTTTATCAAGTACGCAGTGATACCGTTTTCGTCCTGTACATTGGGGTTTGAGCGTTTTAAGCGTAACCTACGTTACCCCAGTCTATACATGGCCATTCTAATCTTATCAGATGTTTACAGTGGCCATTCCAGCATGTTCTCACCGGAAAAAAAAAATACAAATTCAATAGCGCGAAATGTAATCTGCAGAATGTACGAGCAGATCCACCTGGCCATTACAGTGGCCCCTGGTATTATGACATTCATGAAAGTTAAGTGTACGCGTATACTTTTCTTCCTCCCATCCAGATTCTCCTGTCTGTTCTTCGCGGCAGCGCACCGTGTACCCCGCCGCGGCGCACGAGATGCTGCAGGTCTCCTGCGACGTGGACGCCCATCCGTCCGCGGTGGGCTTCCACTGGTCGTTCAACGGCAGCCTGCGCAACCACGAGGTGCAGACCTTCGTGTCCGAGGGCACCCGCAGCATCGCCTCTTACGTGCCGCGCGAGAAGGCCGACTACGGCTCGCTCTTTTGCTGGGCCGCCAACAAGATCGGCCGCCAGAAGACGCCCTGCGAGTTCAAGGTCCTGCCTGTCGGTACGTAAATCTTACAATGGTCCCGCGCAGAAAAAAAAAAAAAATCTTACAATGGTCCCGCGCAGGGAAAAAAATCTTACAATGGTCCCGCGCAGGGAAAAAAATCTTACAATGGTCCCGCACAGGAAAAAAAATATACTATCACAATATATTGCAGCCTAAGGGACGTCTTCCAAGGTCTGCGCGTAAAATTCACGCAAATATAAGCTTTGCTGTAAACGCAAAGACAATAAAAAGATCAAAACAAAATTAGAAATGAAAAGTTGCCTCTGTTTTTTGTTGAATGTTTCTTTTATTCATAACTGTTACAGAGATTGCTGTAGGAGATACCATAATGCGTCCGATGTTTTTTTTTAAATATTAGTTTCTATAGACGGTAAGGAACATTACTTTTTTCGTTTTTGCATCACAGAAAATATTTCGGATTGTTAATTTTTTTTAATACTTTAAGGATTACTTTTATTGGTGTTTTAAAGAAGTATTCTTTTCACGGCTAGGCAATGCGAAAAGTGCTGCTAAAAAGAAGTGCGGTCAGTTGCGTGATAACTCTAAAACACACACAACTACGTTACTTTTTTGGATTCTCGAGCACTTGGTATGCGATTTGCAGTGAATTTTGTTATAACCTTAGGCAGCGGTGCACCGAAAAATGTTTCATAAATGAAGAAGTGCTCACGGCTGTAATGCCGTGGGTATAGACGCGAGGGGCCGTGGCCACGCAAGCCTTTTTGAGTGTGCCACCGTGCTGTAACGACGCCGACTTCTTTTGCTGGATTTGAAGCTGCTCGAGTACCGAAGTACTCCTGACTGCTGTAGAAATTAATGTAGAAGAAAGGGAATCACTCAGTGGTTTAGTACCGTATACCATTTGGGCAAGTCACACGACCTCAACAACCAGTACTATTTTAGCTTCTCTTCATTCCTTTCCTTGAAACTATGTGGTAAGAAAGGGTGCCGCAGGGACACGAACCACCGTTAAAATGGCGGTGATGGTGATGATAATGTTTGATTTGGTCAATACAATCGACTTCGTTGTCGCTTTGGGCAGAATCTACATTGCGATAACATTAGTCACCTAGTCATCTGTTCGAAGCAGGCGACGAACTCGGCGCTGTTTCTGAACTCGTGTAATTCACGAAGTAGGACGCACGCACAATAAAGATTGCCTCGGGATCACGTGGCCAAAATGTCCTACTTTTTTAATGTCCGGCGGAAAAGCGCAAATTAAGTGCGCTGTGCTGAAATCTTTTGACTTCCCGCACGCATGCCTGTCACGATAGAGACCTACGTAGGTTTTGTCTAGCCTTCACTAGCACTTCAAAATTTAAATAGGTTAGCGGGTGCCTCAAATATATGGCAAGTCACCCAGGATGGACTTCTACAGCACTTACATGTTGGTTGATGCGAGTTTTCTTGGGAGGTTCCTATGATGGTTCCGCGCCACCGAGAGCCGCCTCAGTCCTAAGTCACTGCAGCTTGATTACTGCCACTTCGCTATGGCCTGCCGATTCCCGCGAGATTCATAAAAACAGCGATCCATCTTAGCTATATAAGCTTATCGATAAAGGCGTGGAAGAGGGGCCAGGAGCAATGCTTTGGTTTGGCTTGGTCGCCAGCCAATGTGGCCGCTGTTCAGCACCACCAGGCTCACCACCATCCACTGCGGGCGCCTTGGCCACCTTCGTTTCTATCGGCAAAAAGAACCACACAGTTTTGTGCTGCGGAGTGCTTTCTTTCTTTGTTTTTGTTACAACATGTATTCTAGTTGGTCGGCTGGCCCCACATACAAGCAGAATGCTGCTTTTGTGGGCCAGCTCTTTATTTTGTATTACTTGATCTGAAAATAAAAATTGAATTGAATTGACTGTTCTCAGCGATGCGGAAAACAGAATCGAGCGACCGTGGTTTAGTAGGCCCCTTATCGGCATGTGTGTGTGTGTGTGTGTGTGTGTGTGTTTGTAAGCGGAGGCGGGGAGTGATCCAAGGAGTGTTTAAATAGAGCTCAGTGCGTCATGGTGAAAGTGACGACTGTCGCTGACAGCATAAGCAAGTGCCTTCGTCATCGTCTTCGTTCGTTGGCAGGGCACCACACAAGAACAAAGATCTGTGGGTTTTCGGTTTTCAGCTCTCTTTCCCTCTGGCTGCGGCTGCAGCCAGGGTGTCAGTCGCTGTCGCTTGTTCTCTGTAACGCCAATTGCTGAGAAATCGCTGGCATGATGGCGTCTGTGTTGTGGAGGCCTCTCATTGGACGGGCATAATTTCACGAGGTGCTTAATATTGATGATGCGATACTTTGTGAATCAGTCGTTTTGTGCTTCCCAACTGCCATCCTCCTGACGCCGTTTTACCGTTTCTTTTCATATGACGAAAACAAAAAAACAGTAAGGGCTACCAATAACTTAAGACTTTATTATATATACAGTTTATTCTGTGTCGAGCGCTGTTGCCACGTGACCTCTGGGTGACTACGTTGGTTATTAACTTGCGCTACAGCGTTGAAACTTACGCAATGATACGCTTCCCAGAAACACATGTTGTTATCTTTCTATTGAGACGCGCTGGAATTATTATTTCAATTAATATTATGCGGTACAGAACCATTCTTTATTATTTGACTCTGCCGCGTCACCCTTAGTCGCAGCCGTATACCATACCGCAATGCACTATAAAGCCATACGCACTTTGCACGCTAGGTGTGATAGAGCTACTCAACAAGATCTACTCTTCTCGCATAATTATGATGTCTCACACTCTAAAAACATTCGGCGGAATATTATCCCGACAGCCTCATGTAATTCTCAAGGCGGAATTCTTATCGCTCGCTCTGATGTTCTTAATCCTGAAGTGACTGGCGTCGCGGGGATTACTGCACTTGACGCCGCTGTTGAGACGCAGCGCCGCCTGGCACGCGGGATCTGGCAAACCGAGGTAATTGGAAGTGGAAGCCTTCTGAGTGAGAAGGAACCTAATGTTGAACATAACAAAAACTTGGCAAGCGATTTCAAGCACCGAAAAAAATAAAAAGAACCTAATCACAGTTTAATGGCATCGTTGCACCGGTGGCTTCTTGTCTGGTGTTTAAAATTCTAATTAAGAATCCGGAAAAATTGCCGAAGAAAGGATTAGCGCTGTTTACAAAATCTCACAGCGTTCGATTCCTCGCTAGCGTAAACGCTGCTCCCTTTTTTCCTGCGAATTTTCTTGTTCTGTGCGATGATCGGGATTTCTGCGCTTCGGTTGTACGAAAACGACGGCTCTCTTAAATAGTCAAGGATCGTCTTTTATATATATATATATATTTCCGGGACGTAATTTTAGTAATGAAGAAAGACGAGGCAATTCACAAGAAGCAAAATCTTTTTCTTAGAAGGAACAAAATAGCGAGGACATTATCTTGGGTAGATGAATAATATAAATACAAGTTGAAGCAGAAAGGATCCACAGGAGCGGCAGAAAGTGGTCCTTTTTAAATAAGGGTTCAGCGCATGCATAAACACCCCTGGAGAAAGTTTAGATAGCGAAAAGAAGTTGCGCCACGTCTCCCGCGCCAGGGAAACAAAACTACGGTTCCCGGGTTAATTCAAGTCCGCAACGCCTATACCAAGGCAAGGTAGAGAGTCATGGTATTGGACCACTCGACCGTACCAGTCCAAACAGAAGATAATTTTCTTTGCTGTTTTGTACGCAACAGTTATCTATGTAATATACAGGGGACTCAATCAAATGACGTCGTTATACGGTGGTAGTACATAGAATAATAGGCATGCATAATATACAAGCTGTCGCCACAAAAAACGTGACCATCTTTTATTGTCTGTCGTCAAAATATGTTACGGACCGCTAAATGCTCAGCCTCCGCCCAAAGTTAGCACTAGCGGACCGAACCAGTTTCGGTGCAAACAGGTGTCTTGTTAAAAAAAAAAAGTTATGAGAATTTTTTATGAGAAAATGGTTGTTGGCAGAGCCATTGATGCACGAAGGTAGATTGCGCCAGTTACCAAAAGCGGGTTCCATTGTGCCCATTGAAAATTTCATAAAATCAAAAAAACTGCAGAAAACAGTCGAATGTAATAATGGTTAGGTTTAAAACTGTGGCACCTGATGGCGACTAATAGAGCCAGCTATCGGCGGAAAATGAACGCTGAGTAATGCGTTGTTCATTTTTGCCGCAAAAAAATAATAGGGGGGGGAGGGGAAGAGAGAGGGAAAGGGGGGAACGTGTTAGTGTTGTACATCGGAAGGTTCTTTCGACTGTGTCGACATTCTAAACATTGCGAAGCCACGATATCAACGGTCCGTTCCCAACCTCCACGGAGCGCCCTATTACGATATAAGGTGCAAGTGCCCACGTGCTTCTTTCCTCTCCAAATTCACGACCTTTGTTGCCCCTGCCCGGTCGTGAACCGCTCCCCAAAAGAGTTTTCCCCAAAATCTGAGACCGCTCCCCAAAAAAGGTTGACGCTAGAGCGAGAGAGCCGCCGGCGGCAACAACTTTGTGTTGGAGGAAAGGGAAAACCGCCTACGCGCAAAAAGAAAAAAAAAAAAAAAGGGAAAAGGTGGGGGCATATCCCGGACGGTTGTCTCATAAATATTCACTCCGCTTCCACTGGCGCGTTCCTTGGTCGGCGTTTTATAAGCGCGGTGCCCCCGCAGCACGCGGCCACGTCGACGTCCCTGAGGCGGGCGAGGCCAGGCTTCCTGGGCAGCTGGTTCGCAATAAAGTGCCGAGTTTGCGTTAATTGGGCAGTCTCGTTAGTGGGCCCCTTTCTGCCTCCCTCGAGCCTCCGGGCGAGAAAGAAATTTTGACGGGAAGCTCGGGTGAGGGGAAAGCCCTGGAAGAGGGGGAAGAAAAAGAGAAGCACGACACGGTGTTTTATTTTTTCTTTCCATGATCGGGTCTAAGAGGAGGCCCAGGTGAGGAAAAGAAGGAAGAGAAAGGAGCTACCGAGAGCGTTTTTGAAGCGAAATGAAAGAAGAAAGAAGAGTGGAGGAAGAGATGA